TAGCTCAGTGGATTTAGTAGCACAGAATATAACAGGAATAACAGAAGGGTCCTAAAAATATCTTGTGTGGAGTTCTGAGTCCTCTAAATATGGAAGGAGCCAGTGCCCATGCAGTAATAGCAATGGAAAGAAAGAGAGAAAGGAAAGAAGGAAGGAAGGAAGGAAGGAAGGAAGGAAGGAACAAAAAGAAAAAATCCAACAGTCTCCAGTGACACTGGAACATGTAGTGAGAAACAAAGTTTCTTTAAGAGTATTGGCCAAGTGCAGACTCTGTAGAGGAAAGTGCTCAACATCTGGTCACTGATGGGCTATTTTCTTGCCTGGGATTATCACTATCTCACCTCTGGCTCACAATACCTCTTGTCTGTCTGTTTTGCTCATTATATTGTAACCCTTCCTTGATGATTTTCCTTAAAGATGGTCCTTATTGTTCATCTTCAGGGCCAGATGGGAATTTAGAAATCTTCCAGATCTACAGGTGCAATTACTCCCAACTCCCATCAGACTCTGTTTACATATTCAACATAATCATATCCTAAGTGCTTCCTAGTCAGAGGTCAGAGGCAGTTCCCGCCCAGTTACTTCTATTCATAGCATTTATTTACTATTGTGGTTTATGCTAATTGGTTGATTTCTCATTTCTACATAGAAACTATAACTCTAGCAATTACACTTCATATTTATTAGGTATTTGCTATGTTGGGTACTATGATATGGGCATAGAAACAAACTCATTGAACATTCACAATCTGAAATAGATTCTACTATGAGCCTCATTTTATAGATAAGGCTCTTTATGAGACAGAGAGGAACTGAGTCAAATCTGTATACTGAATAAAGGATACAGCCAGAAATTCATTCCCAGCAACCTGGAGACAGAACCATAGGAAACATGTTAAGCTACATGCCTACTGTATACCACTCCATCCTTGAGACCGTGTCAAAACCTTCCATGGAACAGTGCTCAGTGGACAGTTGTTGGGAGGTAAGGAGAAAGGTACAGAGGGATGGCGAGAGGAAGGAAGAAGGCTGAGGAGGCAGATGTGCATTTAACTCTTTATGAAGAAAGATAGAGATCCAGTGATCCATCTTGTCATACTTGGAGCAACAGGTGCATGCCTAGATATAAAGTATCATACACTGTCCCTGAGAGAGCTTCCAATCCTCATCTTGTGTTGCCTACAGATGAACCCTGGTGCTACCTCAAAGGGTCCAGAGGTTTACCTTGGCTACTAAAAGTTCAACAATGCAACAGTTCTGCTCCAGGGATGCTATGCTGAGCCCTTAGAGTACAGAGATGAATATCAGGCACCCTTTTCAAGGAGCTTACAGGCTAGTAAAGAAGAGGAACCCTAAGACTAAGGAGAAGAGAGGACAGACCCTGATCAGTCTGAGAAGTCTGGAGGAACGGGACACAGATACATCTCTTACTGAATACTACTTCTAGGATTGATTGCTTATCCTGATAATGAAGTCCATAAGTTTATGGAGGCCTGAAACATGGCAGCTACCTATGTGGCCCACACTGCTCTAATGAATAGTACTGTAACCTGAACTACAGCAAGACAGAGTTACTGCAAGGCTGATGACCAGTGGGATGACAGCAGTATAAAACTTTTCCCCCCCAAAGATGATAAATCTTGGAAAAGCTTATTGTGTGGTACCCCCCCCTGTCTTTGGGCATATTCTCTGGCTTCACTCACAAGCCTCATCATTTCTCAGCCTTCTGTCAAGCAAACTTTGCCAGCTTCAAAGTAAAGTCCTATATTAGCTGTAGCATGTAAGTGTGGATGCATTTCCTCATTCTAATTTAACAGGTCTTGGTAATTCTTTCTTTCGGTTTTATCTTAGCATTGTGGCCATGGTTTTCTAACAGGTTGTATGGTCTGCCCCATACTGTGCTTTGTGAAAGACCAGTTGTTTTTAATGTCCAACTCTTCAGAACACGAGCTTTTCAAACACATAATAAGCTACAAGTGTGTGTGTGTGTGTGTGTGTGTGTGTGTGTGTGTGTGTGTGTGTATGTGTGTGTGTTAAAAACAGAAATGTTACCAGTTTAGCAATGGCTTTTCCATTAGGTATTGTGACATTCCCACTGAAATTCTCTGAGGTAAATAACAATCACCATAATCATTTTTCAGATGAGGAAACAGGCTGAGAGCTGTTAAATGACTTAGATGGTGATAAACCAAGCCTTTGAGCTCATGTTTTCAACTCCATCTAGTCAACCTTCATTTTACCCTCAGCACTTGAAACAGTTCTGGTATGTGGTCAGCAATGGAATGATAAACTATTCTAAAAAATTTAATACTGTCCTTATCATCTATCTAGTGATACAGTTTATAAACACTGTCTAAAAAGCAAAGCGAGAAACAAACATCGAGGAAAGGAGAATATTAGGTTGTCTCTAAAGTCCCATACTAGTTAGGAATGCCACTGAGTTTTTTTTTTTTTTTTTTTTTTTTTTTTTTTTTAAACCAGGGGGGGGGGTTTTTTTTTAACACCAGTAGGTGTGAGACAGCTTTTATTATGCTGTTTCATGCATGCAAAATTGGTTGTCAGTCACTGAAGAAAATTATCAAAGTTAAATAAATTACTGAGAGGGAAATGCATTTCAAGTTTATTATTATTAATTATTATTAGAATTTCATACAGGAGTGCCATATTTACATAATTTTCTCCTCCTTGCTACCCATCAAATTCCTCCAATGTCACCCTCCCCAACTCCTCTCAAACTCATGATCTTTTATTATTGTTTTTACACACACACACACACACACACACACACACCATTTAGTCCACTTGGTGTTGCTTGTACATGTGTTTAGGGCTGACCATTTGGGACCTGAGTTTTAGTTTGACCCTAAGTCACCCTGATTCCAAAGTTTGTACATTTCCACCCTATCAACAGAGAATTTCTAACACTTTTCCAATAAGAGGCAATATTCAATCATACATGAACAAATCTACTTAATAGTTTTGTATTTGTATTTACACTTGCTTAAAGGTTTGAGCAATTGCCTGTTACCAACGAACTGCAGTTCCCAATACAATCCAATAACATCGATTCATCATTTCCCATGAATATCTTTGAGCTTTCAAAAAGACACATAAAGAGAAGAATTAACTGGATTTTAGATATGTAGGTGAACACATGAAATGGAAAGGCTGATGGGTGAGTGACTGAGATTTGAGCAATCTGATCCCGACAAATCAGTGTCCAAGACATTTGTGTCGGGAGTGTATGATTGATGTTCATAAGCTATGTCAGCCCATACTTTCTAAACTACTTGGGAAAGGATGGAAATTAGAACATGCTTAACTTCCTGGCCAACATTTTAAGGAAATTAATCTCTCTCTCTCTTCTCTCTCCCTCCCCCTCACCACCTCCTCTCCCTTAGTCTTTGCCTACCTGATGCCTGTGGAGGCCAGAAGAAGGTGCCAGAACCCCAGCAATTGAAGTTACAGATGGTGTGAGCTGCTATGTGGGTGCTTGGAACCAAACCAGGGTCCTTTGCAAGAGCAGCAGGTGCTCTTAACTGCTGAGTCACCTCTCCAGCTCTTTAATGTTCTGGATCACTGGGTGTGCTGATTCAGGGCTCCGGTGTGGCTGCTCTAAGAAGCACTTGGTTCTCTTTGGCTTGAGGAAGCAACAGCAGATGACACTGCAGTTTTCAAAGAGCTTCTCAGAACCTAGTGAATATTCCCAACTGACCAAAATATTTGCTGGCTGGGTTATGCAAAGAAACAATCAAAGTCTTGGGTCCTCCCATGATACCTGACTTTCCATTCCATTTTTGGCCAGTGAGGTGCTGTGTCATTCAGTTAACTCACATCTGGGGATTTCAGTGACAAATCATTTTCCAGAAGTGTAGACAAACCCTACCCAGAATGAGCATCTTGGCAAAAGCATCTTCTTTCTAAGTTAGGAGACACCTGCTTATCATAACGCCTGAGCCTGGAAGTTGGGACTGACTTTATGACAAGTAGCAACAATAGAAGCAGACACATAAGCCAAACTGGGTTAAACTTTTACTGATCATGCCAAGCAGTGAGTACTCTGGCTGAATGTCCATATTTGCATCACTGTGTTCCCTGTAATAACAGAGTTTGTCTTTTTTCAAAATGCAGAGTACAACTTCATATAATGCTGAACACAAACTCCTTGGTATTTTTTTTTCTTGCTTTATTGTCTTTGTGTCATGTTTACTGTGGTAGACTACTATTCAGAAAATATCCCCTCCTTCCTTTTACAACCTCCATGACTTCCCAGTTCCATAGACATGAAATTTGGCCACATGGCATGCTTCAGACAATGACAACACACCAGAGTTAAGCCTGGGCCTTGAAAAGCTCTGTGTGTTCCCACCTATCATGTTCTGTGCCCTATCATGTTCTGTGCCCATAGAGGCTGCCTCTCTAAGCAGAGTTCCAGAATGAGGCACATTAGGAAGTCCTTATTTTGACCCAACTTATCCAGTTTGCATATTACATATACGTGAAATACTGCATCAAGCCAGCAATTCCAGGAAAAGCCATCATGACTTAGAAACCACAAGGGTGGTTGGAAGGCATGGTAGACAGCAGAAAAGACTGGATGGGACCTGGGGAAGGCTAACCCACTACAACCAACTACAGGCCAATGAGCAGTAAATAAAGTGCTCAGGGCTGGATGAAGCTTAGATTTTGTGGTGGTTTGTTTCCTGATAATTGCTAGTTAGTTGACCCATTTCATACAACACAAACTTAAAGAAATCATCTCAGTTTTAAAGAAAAATCCCCTTTCCCATCCAAGCACTAGTCAGGCCCAGCCCTGCTTAGCCTCTGAGATCAGACAAGATTAGGCACATTCAAGGTGGTTTCGGATGCAAACTCTCCTCCCCTCCAATTAAAGTGGCTAATAACCATCTGGTGCAAGTTATTTCCTTCTCTTTTCTCTAATTCCAGGATTAAATGAGCAAATATATGTTAAAAACAAAAACACAAAACACTTAATACAATGCTGTCCACAATAAGTGCTCACGAGGCATTTTTATTAATAATCTCATACCAGTACACTCATACATACACTTTAAGTTGGTTTGATTTGGGTTCTGTTTTGTTTTGTTTTGTTTTTTGAGAGCTTTGAATTCACTGTGTAGACCAGGAAGGCCTTAAACTTGTAGCAATCCTTCTGTCTCAGCCTCATGAGTGCTGGAATTACAGGTATGTACCACCATGCTTGGCTTATGGCTTTTTCAATTTATCCAAAAATAAAACCAGCTTGCTTTGCTCACTTAAAGCCATCAACGGGCTCCTCCAGGTCAGCTCACATGTTCAAGACAATTCACTTTTCAAAGTGGCTACATGAGACTCCATGGTTTGAATTATAACATTCAAACAAACTATATATCTAGTTTGTTCAACCTATTTTCATGTTCTAGATAGAGAATCCAAGATTCATATTGCTAAATATCAGCTGACCTCCTTATCAGATCCCACATTCTTCTCCTGTGTCAGGCCCATCTTTGTGACATGCTTTAGCCAATAGAAGATGAAGGGCAGTGACCTCTGGGCAAAGATTGAAGTGTCACTCGGTGATATAACTTCTCTCTCTCCTGTTACACACAACAGCAGTATCTCAGGCAGGGCTCTTCCAGGCAGTGTCTCAGAGTGGACATTTTGGCCTGGATGAAGCTGGACATTGGCAAGCACGGAAAACACGTTCACGTTGTTCTAAATCTCTGAGGTTGTTCATTGCTATTCACAAGACAGAAAATGTTGATCCAGAGCTTCCAGACTTCCAAGCGTTTGGATGTTCATCGGAATCATTCTCATGGTTTAGCCATGTACCAGAATGCTGAAGGAAGATATGGATTGAAAGAATTACTGGCAACAGTGGCCTTCCTGACATTTTATAACATCAACAGTTGTCCTCCTCCCCTCAATAGCCAAATCAGTAGGAAAGGACATAACAGTATCACAGAAAAGATAAGTCCCTGCACCCCAGTGGACTGAGAACCATCCTCTGTGTAGGGAAGTATCATGGAATCTTTGTCCTGATTTTTCCAAGTTGCACACTCCATATACACAAACACACCAGGCATTGTCTGTGATTAGCAAAACCACCATCATTCTTTAGAAGCCACACAGAGGCAAATGCAATGAAGAGATGAAGGGAATGAAAGGTGTCTCCCACAGTTTAAAGCCACCGTCACTGTGAATGACTTCTGCACCCCAGCTCTCTCAGAAGACTTCTTTAAAGACCCATCAAAGGATGGAGGAGAGAGTCACAGCTAATCAGATGGAAAAAGGTTTTATTTTTAATTGTAAGTGTAATACATGTTCACTGTAGAAAACTCTGAGACAAAGCAGGTAGCATAATGAAGAAAGTAGAAACTAAACAAATATCACAAGTGTCAACATCTTGTTGACTGTGAACATCTGCACCTAGGGAAACAGACACTTTACATATGACAACCGACCACATTACAAAGTCTGCTAGATAGATGGATAGATAGATAGATAGATAGATAGATAGATAGATAGATAGATATCCCAAGTCCCCCCTTCCCATTCATTTTACATTTTACACTGGTCCTAACATTTACTAGGCCTTCGTGAACACATCCCCTCTTCCTCTTCTCTTTCCTGGCTGTTTCCACTTATTTTGGAAGATTCTTATTAACCAGTTTCTCCAAAGCACTTTCTTCAACTTCTATCCTTGACAGAGGCCCTTCCACCCAGGAATCCTGTAACTCAGAGCATTATCAAGCTGGGCTCATCTTACCTTCCCTCTTACCCATTTTCCTTGCTATTCCCCAACCAGCGAGCAGGCCCCGAAACTGTTGTTTATCAATGCTTGCCAGTTGTTAGACAATAAACACTAAAAAATATTGACTGTATTAATAAAATATTTAACAGTATATGATACTTGTATTCTGATATCTCCCTCTCCCCCGAAAAGAACCTGGCATTTCAATCCATGCCCACTCAAAGATTAAATCCAGAAAAAAATATCCAGACTAAAATGTCTCATGAAGCTTATAAACTCAACAGGAGCTTAACAGAATATATATTAGTACCATCTTCTTTCTTTTCAAGCTGGGACAGACAGGACAAAAGCCCCAACTTCAATCCAGCACTTCTTCTTATGGGGGATGTCCTAATAGCACCAACTGGAATAAGAAGACATTATCACGTTTACTTCAAAATTCCAGTGGACCAGTACAGTGAAATTGATTGCTCATTCAAAGTCCAGCAGGACTACTTTAAATCAGTGAACATCCTTCCACTGTGGCTCAGTTCTTCTGTGTGTCCTTGAAGTCCCTTGCATTACCAGGGACTATGAGGAGAAGACTTTCTGAAGCAACCCTGTAAATGTATACACATTACATTTGTCCTCTTTGTACTGGCTAAAACACCTGTTCAACAAGAAGCCCACAACACAGACTAGCTGTATAGACCAGTGAGAAAGGAGAAGGACCATCTGCCCCAGGGCAGATGGACAAATCCAGTCTTCTTCAGTGATTTTAAATACATGGAATTTTAGTTTATAGATATTGAAAGTAGCTGCTTTGATATAAAATGTAAACAGGAGGCTTTTCTCTGTCTAGCTCAGTCCCACTTGACAGGTTTCTCTCTGCCCACCAGGTTCCCACAGCCACTTATGATATAACCACTCAGAGACTTACTATATATTTATAATTGTTTGGCCAGTGGCTTAGGATTATTGCTATCTCTCTCTTATAAATTCACCCATTTCTACTAATCTGTGTATCACCACGTGGTTGTGGCTCACTGGTGATGCCTTGTCATCTGGCTTCCCCGGCGGCTACACGGCATCTCCCCTACTCTATCTTCCTTCTCCCTGTCTCTTTCTTTGGATTTCCTGTCTAGCTATATTCTGCCTGTCCATTGGTTGAAACAGCTTTATTTATGAACCAATAAAAGCAACACATATTCACAACATACAGAAGGACATCCCACATCAATAATGTTCAGTCAGCATGAAAACACCACCCAGATTTATACATTTTATATTAAAAAGAGGTCAGATCTAGAACCACGAATATTGGTGAACATCACTGGATAGACTATGAACAAGACTATGTGAGACGACTTCTGTGAACAGGACAGTGGTGAGAGTTGCTGTAATTAGTATGGGCTCACAGAGAAGATCATAAAGGAGTCTGGCAGAGTATCTTGGACACAGACAACAAATGTGTCTAGTGTCAGAACTTCAGCTCTAGGTGTATGCAACTGTTCTACTGAGTTCAAACTGCTCCAGAAGTTCTTGCTTGAACACAGCAAAGGCTTTCCACTAACTTCTAACCATTACCCCAGCTGTGATCTCAAACATCTAGAGTAAGTCAATTCTCCCACAAGACCACTGCCTCACTATCTGAAAGCTCTTCAAAGGGCTCAATCATTCCCACAGTCCTCCCAGCTAAGTAAGGCCAGTTTCTCCTAATCTTCCCCATGAAACACAGTTTCAGGCCCCTCACTACATACCTATCTTTTCTTCAGAGCTCTACTGGTCAGCCATAATGGCTTCTAACTTTTCCACCATGGCTTCTGCTCAGCAGTGCTTACTTAGAACATCACTGCTCCCAGGATCATGTCCTACACTTCAAGACTACAAGCACTTAAGCATGAAGATGCTACCTGTACTGGGAGGTCAGAAGTTGGAAGACGATGTCTGGGACTTGGGCTACTTAGTGGGTATGTGGGTTTTATGAATATTCTGTGTGGACTTCGATCACCACAAGGGCAATGGTGACTGTCAGTCATACAGACCTTCTTGTGCCAACAGGAGCATTGATGAATCACCAGGATTTACTTAATACTCTGTGCCCAGCACCATGCTAGCTGCCCAGCATACTAAAGACACCAAAGGCACTGTTTCCTGCTGGGTTAGGTTAAAGAGATCACAAGAGAAAAATTAGAAACCCAATGATACAAAGAAATGCCAAATAACAAACTTCATTGCTAAGAGGAGATCACCATCATGGTCATGGCCTCAGCTTTCCACATTGTCACTTCGCAATGCCTACTTACTCCCCAAGGCCAGGAAAGTGGTCGACCAAATTGCTGAGTGCAGAAGGACCCAAGCATATTTACCTCAGCAGATAATTCTCACTTCCAAGGCAGTTCATGCAATGCTACCCTGTCCCTTAGGAATCACTTTGTATCTACCCACCCAGACCCAACAAGCCAGTGGTAAAGTACCAAGAAACCTGATGTGACTTTGTGCCTGATCTGCCCTCCAGCTAGGGAATCTATCCCTTGCCCTGTCCATCTAATCCCTGGGTCTCACTTCCATCTGGCCCTACACTCAAGAAACAAAGAAAGAAGGGGAAACCATAAGAACTTTTGAAGAGTATGTAAATGGGGAGGGGGCGCTGAGGATAGTTTAGGTTGGAGGTGATCACATTAGGGATGCCACTGAATGCTTCCTCATCTAGACAAATACCCAAAGAAAGAGAGAAATCAGTTGAGGACCAGACAATCATGGGTGGGGTACGATATAAAGACTCTTGGGGGAACAAACAACTTGTCACATTTGGGGAACCCAAGACCAGAGTGGAAATCATTATTACTGGTCACCACATATTACCAGCTCTTTGCTTTCCTGCTTCCCTGATAGCTGCATGGGCTCAGGGACCAGATTTAGCCAGTGAAACTATGAAAAGTGACATGTAACATTTTACAGCTAAGGCATGTAATTGTTCAGACACGAGTCTTCAAAAACTCTTTTTCCCTCTATCAAGAGATTGTTTGGGTTCCTAGAAGTGGGGAGTCCACCAGCCTGGGTCCCAGAGGAAGGTGATATAACTAGAGACCCTACCAACCTTGATAGACATGAAGCAAGAATAAAAAAAAATCAACCTTTTGTCACAAGTCACTCAAGTTTAGAAACTAATTTCTAATTGTGGTGTAACTGATGTAGCAGTGGGCAGTGTGGCTGAAGAAAAACAGGTTCAGAATAAAGTTATGAGGAGAAGTTGGAGGGTGGTAAGGGTATAGCAGTATAGAAAGACAGAGGAAAGAAGGAAGAAGGGTAGTTAACGTGACAAAGACAAACAGGGGCAGAAGAGAGGCCCAGACTAACCTGTCCAGGTAGGGAATTTGCCATGATCCAATATTACCAATTAAGTCCAGGGCATACTTCTACTTCACTATTAAAGCACCCCATAATTCCACATGCAAAGGCTAATTTTTTTTTAAAAAAATCCATCAATAAGCTTTTACTAAGCATCCTTTATCCTTCCATGTGCCAGGCACTTATTAAGCACTAGAGATACAAAATAAGAATGGCACCATTTCTGGGTTTCGAGTCAGTGATTGAAGAAGATATTCAAAAGTGATGGGCATTCTCTCTTCCAGGTACGTACCCACTGTGGTGGCAGCCAGAGAGGATAAAAAACTATTTGAGTGAGCTGGGAGATTGATAGGGAACGTTTTCAGCGGAGTGATGATTTGGTCTTGAAGAATTAATAGTTCATATAGAATATAATTTATTTGTGTGTGTGTGTGTGTGTGTGTAGGTCAAATGACAACTGGGAGGAGTCCATTTTCTTCTAGCATTTGGGTGTTAGTGATTACACTAAGGTTGTCAGGCTTGATGGCAAGCACCTTTAGCCACTGAGCCACGTCTTAAACCAGTTCACATTTTGATTAAGACTAAAAATATATAAAAGGAAGGATATAAAATGTTTGGAGTAGCTGAGACTCTGAGGAATGGATGGAATGTGGACTGTAGGGTGTGGTGGATTGCATCTCTATTTACAAATACTTGCTTCTCTTCTACATGACGTCAGACTTGACCACGTGAACTGCTTTCAGTAGAAGCGTTAAGATTTGTGTACTCTTTGCTTTCAGCAATGTTTAGAATGAAGATGCTGTTGGCCTGTGTCCCAGAGCCAACATGTGTGTACAAGTACAGACAGAGCTGCCTTCTGTAGACACGTAGCATGAGCGAGAACTAACCCTGTGGCTGTAATCCAGCAAGATTTGTGGATGGCTTCCACAGCAATAATCTCACCTAGACAGAAGTGGGCACTTCAAGCTCCTGACTTTTAGGTATACAGTGGGACTGCATGTCCCTGCACCCTTTAAGGCATGAGTCCTGTGACTCATATCAGCCTCTACTCTATGAATTCAATAATGTGCATCACATCTGGAAAAAGCTCTTAAAGTCAGCAGGGACCCATGCATTCTTTCCCCACCAAGGTAATTTTGATGATTCTGGAAGCACAATTCAGGATGAAACCTTCTACAGACTAGGTGAACACATTAAGCACAGCCCTTCTGAACCCAGTCATATACAGTGTGCAAGAAGTAAATTTCTTTATAAGCTACTGAGATGTTTTAGGGCTATTTGTTATAGCAGTATAACTGCACTTGACCTGACTCATTTAAAACATGGCAAAACAAAACAAAACAAAACAAAAAACAAAAAACTTAAAAGCCAAACATTCATCTAGACTAGAAAAACAGCTAAGAACACAGGCTGTCACAAGAATTTTCCTCCCACCCACGTGGTGGGGTAGTGGATGTGGGAGAAACTAAGCAGCACCAACCTCCAACTTCTAAGGTTCCACCAACAAATCAAAGTTCAATTCTACCAGATTTCACCGGGGAAACCAATTAGTTCATTAGGCTTCCTTACAGAACATGATGGCGCGTTACAGGCAGGATTGTAGGAGATTCTAAAGCAGGTGAGCTGCAAGGTCTGCACCAGCATTGATGATAGCTACCGCCATGGCTGCACAGACTCTTTCTTTCCCTAAGCCTTCCCCGGCCTATATAATCCATCCATACCCTGAGACCCCACGGCCACATGCAATTAGGGTAAAACTGCATTCAAGTGACAAGAAGGAGTGACTGGGTACTCTGGTGAGGGTCCAATGACACTGTCCATGCCTCCTTTGAAGAAGGGAATGTCAATAGTCCACACGCCCAACTGTGATGATCTTTCCCAAGTTGGCACAACTTATCTTACAGATAGGGCCGGCCTTATGAGAACAAAACCTAATGAGAGAAAGCAATAGGTTGTAACATCAGGTCAGGAGCATTGGCAGGTGACTTCTGAAATGAGTTCAAGGTAAATGGGGCCACATTGTAAATAGGAACGAAAGGGAATAGGAAATCAGAAAATTTGGGGTTTGCAGGTTGAACAGAGGTAATCCCAATAAAATAAAATAAGGAAGGGCCTAGAGAAGTCAACCTTGAAGCAAGGATCTGTTTAGGGGGTAAGAACCTATTGTTAAAACTCTCAAGATACACAGAGCATGATGGTGAGCACTGTGATCTCAGCGTTTGGGAATTAGAGGCAAGAGGGTGGCCTTTAAGGCCAGCCTGGGCTGTAACAAGACCCTGTCTCAAACCAACCAAAACAACCCCTCAATATACTCTAAGATGTTCATTAAACTCTGGAGAGGAAAAGAAAGGTACAACTTCTAAGTCTAACATACTCTAAAGCAAGAGGAAAGAGATGAGTAGAACATGAGGCCGAAGAGTAAGAAAGCAAAGAAACAGGGCAAACCACTGGAATGGGACCAGAAAAAGAACAGTTGCTGTGGCTACTGAAACATAGTATATCTTGTATCTGACAAGAAACTACACTTGTGTGGGAATTACAATCAACCTGCATTACAAAAGACCATTGGACTTAAACAATGGATCCCTTATATATATATATATATTTAAAGTCCAGGCCTTCATTAAGTCTTTGGAAGACTGAAGGCAGACCCAGGGTCACAGAAACGGACCATATAAGCAGAACCAGGCCCTATTTGCAGGAGTGGATGGAGAGGAATCCTGAAAACACTCAGGGGCTAGCATCTACCCTGACCTCAGTTCCATTCCTTCCCAAGTGGAGCAAAGCCTCTGTCTCTGTCCCATCATATATGCTGAATGGGATCCAGGGGTGGGGCGTGGGGGTGGGGCAGGGTAACTAGCTCTCTATACACTGTCTCTCAAAGCCTGGATGTGAACTTATGCTGTAACTGAAGGGGAATTGGGGTTGATTCCCTTGAAGAAGGAAAGAAGGCAGGAAGGACCCCTTTCAGACCCTCAGTCTCAGGTATGGCCCTGTGACTGACTTTGGCCAGTGGCATATGAGAAAGAAAGGTGCCACTTCCAGGTGGATACACTGAGAGCCAGTCAGAGCTTTGCTGAGTTCCCACTTCAGTCACAACCAGTGAGAAGCAGGACAGTGGACAGAGTTCCCTGCTCAGTCACAATGGGCAAGCAGTGGGAGGGAGCAAGAAACAATAACACACTGACTGAGCCTCTGGGATGATGGGTTTAGGGTAGCATAGCCCAGCCCTTCCCAACTGAGCTTCCAGTGAGATGAGACTAGAGAGCATTGGCTGAAAAACCCCTTCTCCCAGGCAAAGAGGAAGTTCACTGCGGCTGGCAAGCAGAGGCATTGACAAGAGTACATCCTTTTCGCCTTGAATGAAATGTACTATTTCTTAACCTAAGTAGAAAATTAGCCTCCTAAGCAACAGGAGGCAGACTAAGCCTGGGAGTTTCTAAATACAGAAACAAGAGAGCAACTTCTATGGCATCAGCACCACTTCCCAAGCAGATAACCAAGGCTGTGAGGGAAAGTTTGCCAGAGTGGAGAAAATACAAAGGAATGTAACACAGATTTAAGGTCACTTTCCAGCCGTCCGTGTAGCCCAAACAAGATACATGTACTTTCTGGAATTATTTCCTCCTGTGTAAAGTCGAGGTAAAAATGTATGCCTCTCAAGATGGTTGTGGGGAAAAAACAGCATACTTAAACTGCTTGGACTAACTGGTAGATAGTGGGTGTTTAATGGATAAAACTTATTTTTATTACTGTTGTCATAAATCATGGAGAATATGAGCTCCTTGACAAAAACGATTAGGGGAACTCGTTCTCTCTTTGGGAGAAGTAAATGGATCTGGACTTCACAGAAACCTTGCCCTACCCTGCCCCCACAAAGGTCAGTGCTTGGCTGGCAGCAACCAGTTAGTTACCCTCTGCAGCCTGAGTGAAAGCAAAGTGAGCACACGGAGTGAAAAAGAGCTGGCCAGTTTCCCACCGATACCAGCTGCTATTGGGTTCTGAATTCTCAAGGCAAAATATCTTAGGGCTCCAGGATACAAACCCTGGGCTGAGTTCTGAGGCAGCAAAATCCGAATTAGAACCTCCGGACTTAAGGTCCAACTCCAAACCTCAAGTCCTGGGCTGTAAGGAGGCTTGGGGAAGAGCTGGCTAACAGCCCTTTGCTACCTTGCTCACCAGTTCCTGCCAAATCACAGCCCTGTAGCCTGGTACGGCGGGAAGGCCCAGGGGGAATGCCGAGGCCGGCAGGGAAGGGGACAGTGAGTTGACCAGCTTCTAGTACCGGCATCAAGGAAGGTAATACTAACGCCTGGCAGCCCGGTACGGTGGACCTCATCCGCTCTACTTGCAGATGAGGCCAATAAAGCTCAGAGAAGTTCCGAGATTGCAGTTAGGCCATGAGAGAACCGAGCTTGCCACCTCTTTAGTCCTAAGTGGTGGAGAATGGAGGTCGGATAGCAGAACCCTAGGACAAAAACCACTTACATGTGTCTAGCGCTTCCTAGAGGCCACACAGGATATGAATCCACCAGCGGGCGGGGAGGGGAGACTTTAGCCTGCTTCTACCAGGGACTCCCGCTTAGGCAGCGTGACTTTCGGGCGAGTCGGCGGCGGCTCTCAAGACTTGTTTTCCCAGAAGCAAATCAGGAGCTGGGGGGTGGGGGGTAGGGCGGGCGCGGGTTGCGTATGCGCGAGACGCGCCCGGGCAAAGGCGATCGCTGGGGTTTCCTGAGTTTTGAACCCTTAAATGTTGATTTTGACCCCCATGGATGCTGGGGTCGCCCCTTTATTTCACGTCTAGAAAGCGCGTCCCTCTGAGGCAAAGCGAGCCCCTCCCCGCATGTCTCCAGAGGGTGAAGTGTTGTGCCGAGGACCCTGACGAGTCGGTTCTTAGTACCGCAAATCTCTAGCTTCCAGGTAGAGCACACAGCGGCACAGATCCTCCTCTGGAACTTAACCAAGAGATAAACTTCCACGCGTGCTCAACGTGGGAGGGACACTCAAGCCCGTTCAACTTCAACACACTTTCTCGCTCCCGCACCCGGGGCGCACACAACCATCTTCACCCGCGCCGCTGCCTCCCGGAAGTGTGGGGGTGCAGAGCCTGCTGGAGCTCAGGTCGCTCAGCCCCTTCACGTGTGTGCGTGTGTGTGCGTGTGTGTGTGTGCTTGTGTGTGCGTGCGTGCGCGCGCGCCACCTCCACTCCCCACCCAGGCCTTCCGCCCGGGGCCACTAGCGAGCCTCCCCAGCTTTCTGGATGCCGGTGTCTCGATCCCCGTCCCCAACCCTGAACTTGAGCCCGCCTCCGACAGACGCCGCAAGGGTCCAGCCGACCCGGCAGCCTCCGTCACTAGACAGCCAAACCAAGACGTCAGCCCACAATGCACCGGGCGGGCCGGGAAAGACGCGCCGGGGAGGGAACCCGGGAACACAAGCCTGAGCGCCGCGCGGGAGGGGGAGGGAGGAGGAGAAAGAAGGGCCCAACTGTAGGAGCGCAGCGGAGCATTACCTCATCCCGTGAGCCTTCGCGGGCCCAGAGAAGAATCTTCTGGGGTGAGGTCTCCATGGCGACAGGCGGGCCCGCCCCCCTGAGAGCGACGCAGGCCAATGGGAAGGCCTTGGGGTGACATCATGGGCTATTTTTAGGGGTTGACTGGTAGCAGATAAGTGTTGAGCTCAGGCTGGATAAGAAGGACTCAGAGTTGCACTGAGTGTGGCAGAGACGTCCTGGCAGGAACGCGCTCAGACAGAGAGGCAGAGAGAGAGAGCGGGACGGACGGAAGGAAGGACGGACGTTCTCGGCCAATCTGGACGGCCGCGGACTCCGGGCTGCTCATCTGTTTGTCTTCATTTTCTCACCGACTACCTGGACCCAGCGCCCGCGGCTCCAGCACCGGTGTTTTGGGGAGCACTTGGAGAGTCCCTTCTCCCGCCTTCCCCGGAGAAGCAGCTCGCAAGTCCCTGCGCTGCTGACAGCATCGAGAGCGGTGCCTGCCCGAGCGAGGAAATAGGCGAGCGGCTACGCCGACCACCAACTTTCCTGACCCAGAAGACCGGGAACAAGTGGCCCGGAGCGAACTTTTGCAAACCTTTTCAGCGCCTTAGGCTGCCCCCGAGACCGTAAAGAAAGGGGAGAAGAGGAAGAACCCACACTCAGCCCCGCTCGCACAGGCGG